TTTTTTTTTTTTTTTTTTTTTTTGCTGCTACTGCTGTTGCTGCAATATGAGAGCAGTATGTGAAAACCGTCGAGCAGTATGAATGGTAACCAACAAAACTGAGAGGAAATATGTTTAATAAACCAAAAAAAAAGTTGCAGTTAGCCTCGCTTTCTGGACAGTTATATCTATTTGAAGTTTATTCTGTAAATTTGCAAAAAAAAATATTTTTAACTCTATAGTGTATTGGAAAACTACCGCAAGAAAGCCCTATTTTTTAAAAGGACAAATAAAATAATCAATTTTGATGTTTTGAGGACAGTAATGTTACTTTTATGACATTTCTCATTGCATCCCCTTTTTTTTTTTTCTTCAAACAAAATTTCAAATGCAAAATATTTTTTAAACCAAACTGTTTCTAAGATTTTTGTAAAACTACAAATTATTTTGCAGTACCTTTTTTTTTTTTTTTTGAGAATATAGACGGAAAAAAAAGGAATAAATTGTTAGCAGCAACTCCGTTGAACTGCAAATTCTGTTTTGCAAATTTGAAAAATAGGCGATTTACTAAACAAACTGATTCTTCAGGTTTTTATCCCTTTCCCAGAAATGGTTTTGAAAGCATCAAATTTCCTTCGCGATAGTGGTGATACAAAAAGGACTGCAAAAAAACAAAGTAGTGGCAAAACGAAATATTTTCTAGTCTATAAAATGTTCATTTCCTTTTAATGATTATGTCTAAGATAATTTGAGGTACCGGGTACACCTTCAAAAGAAAAAAAAATAGTGATGCTATCAACGGTGGCAGACAGTTGGCGACAATGGTATTACAGCAAAAATAATTATCAAATATATCGTTGTATAAAATTAATCAAAAATTTTGATTTCATACCAAAAATACATCAAGGATACATTGTTGCTTTTAGCAGCACTGAAACCTAACAAATTTCTTTTGTTGGGTAGCTGTATACCAAAATTGAAATGCAGCTGTAGAGCTGATGTTTTTTTTTTTTGTTTCTTTAAAATGTTAGAGAATCAAAAGAAAAAAAAGAGAATGAGTCTAAAACTTCATTTTTTTACAAAAAAAAAGGTACGTTTGACTCAGAGACCATATTAATTTTGTAAAATTTTTATTTAATATTCTTACATATTCCTTAGCGGTTTTCATCGGTCAATTTAAAACGTACATTTCTTCAAGACTTACATCAACAAATATTTCCAGTTTTTTTCCTTATTACTTATAATTTAAGCAAAAATATTATTGCTCTTCTTAATTTATTTGTCACTTTTGCTCATATTTATTGCATACAGAAAACATCCTGCAGTGTTGTCAGTTATTTGTAAAATTTAAAAGCTCTCTCTGAACAATTACCACTTCTTTTTACCGTTCTAATTCTACTAATATTTGTA